TAAAGTCGATATCTTCATTGCTAATAGTACACATCACACAGACGGGCAGATATGGCTAAATCAAGTCAGAATTTCACGCTGATTAAGAACATATATACTTTGTTTCTGAAGCTTCCTTTTGGGTCTTACATACATTATGGAAAAAAACATACAAGTATGCCGCCATCTTACAGTGGTGGGTATAGAAATCACACAAAGATACGAGAAACATATAGAGCCATTAAATACCCTACACCACATTGTCTATCATAATTCTTATTTGTGTATGAAAATGCTATTCTGGACCAGTTTTCATTAACACATATTAAAACTTAGACTATTCTGCTCTACCAAGAATCAATTTTCGTGAAAATCTATATTATAACGTTCTAAAAAATATGCCGAGATGGACCAAATTTGGTACCGTTAATTTTTTTATGTTAAATCACTATTCTGATATAATTCTCATCACGAAGCATCGAAAATCATGTGTTTTCGTCGTATGAACTTCAATTTTCGTTATATGAGTGGGATCGAAAAATTGCCTCAGCCGATCCAAGGTTTTTATACCAATTTAAAATGCCCAAATAATACAATATTTAGCTACTTTTGCCGAGAAATTGTGAAAATTACAATTTTTTTCCGTATAACGACTGTTCAGAGGAGGGCGTTATAAAGGTAGTGATCGAAAAAGTGGACCGGTCCGAATCATTTTCAATAGCGTTCGTCCTTGGGTCAAAACACGTCATTGTACTAAATTTCATTGAAATATCTCAAAAATTGCGACTTGCACACAAATTTACATGGACAGACTCAGACGGACAGACAGGCTTAGATCAATTGAGATTATAAATCTAAATACATCGGTATTATAAAAGGTGGGGGTCTATTTTAAGCCTTCTGCGTGGTACGTACGTCCACACTAATTTAATATATCCTGTACTACAAGTGGTGTAGGGTATAAAAATATATCTGAAAACTTTTATAGAAACAAATGCTGACGCGTTGGTCGGAAAATAGCACATTTATATCGCTTTTTTGAATTGCTACATTTTAAGTAAATAACTCTCTCTGCAATTATTGAGTCAAAGGCGGCCAACTAGTGTTTTATTACTACTGGCTGTAGATTATATGCGAGCTCACATTTGCGACCATAAGAGTCTTCTAAACGGCCTTTTAACTGGAAATGTTACGCTCATTGAGAGTATGTATGTATGTATGTATATAATAGATATAAATTATGAAGTATCCGCGGCAAAATTCTGCATATAATCACCGAAGTAATAAATCTGGCACTGTGCTTCAGTGATGCGTAACATAAACGAACAAAACGCGATATTCTAGGCAAACAGACAGACCATCTCTAAATAGACCTTGTTTATCTATGAGGTCAGAAACATTTGGCGAATTTAGTACACCTTCTGCGACAAATATGAAAGTAATTAATCATATAAAGATGGTAATGTATTCAAATTAAAATTGCTTAATTAATTATACGGAAAGAACCACTAAACAAACCAATTTGGAGGATTTTTATAAAAAATATTTGAATATTCCAACGGTAATATATGTTATTAACGATGTCATATATAACGACGCCTGCATATCCTAACGAAAAATATTTCTTTCTTATTCCACGCATTCGTCGGGAGATTTACTTTATTATGAAGAATTTCTGAAAATCATTCAACAGTGTACGAGTTGCCTTTTTATACATGTACACGCCGAACTTAACTTGCTTATAATTCAGTGCACACAACACGCAAGAAATTTTCAGAACATGTGAGGACAATAATATCTACTCACTCTTAAGGACTTTAAGAGTTATTTTGACTTACATTCGCTCTTTCAGATCACTTTGTTCTTTTCTTATTTCAATTTCAATTACAATTTTTTCTATGGATGACTTCACCAGGGAAATGCAATCGAAGGCAACAGAAACGAAGGGCGAGTTTAATATATGTTTTGCTATTAGTAACATCCAGCTACAAGGTACATGCATAAAGTATGTGAGGATGTGTATATGAAATCTTGACAAACGCGAGGTCTTAATGAGTGAGTTCGTTATATCATACATCCGTACGTCTATTTATTCCTGTTGGTTTTGGAATCCTTAAAGTCGTAAAAATTACAAGTTGAAAGATAGTCAGTCAAAAATTGTAGGAAAATTGTTTCATCCCAACAGAAATCAAAATTCTATTGCATATTAACACAAATGTATATTCAAGATAATTCAAAAAATCGTTTTGAAAATAATTTCAATTGTAGAAGCTGATGACACACCTCTTATTAAAAAAAAAGTCTGTGAAATTTTTGTACATTTATTTCACACTTTTGTACGTTAATCTCCAATCGCGGATATAATGTTAGTGCTTTCACATTCAAACGTATTTTATTAATCAAACAATCAAGAGTACGAAGTCCAACTTTGAAATTCCATAACAGTTGCCGTTATCCTTTCGCTTTTACGCCCTATACCACTTGTGAGACAAGGACGAAAAAAAAAGGATTAAGTTTGTGCGGATGTATGCATAACACCAAGAAGGATTTTTAGATACTGATCACCCATTGATGTACTGATTGCTTTCTGAATCGCTTCTAAGCTCATCTGTTCGTCTTCTTCCCGTATGCTCAACTTGTAGGCCGCAATTTTTGAGGCCGTCATTTCGATGAAATTTGACACACAGACGCAAGAATGAACGCTATTCAAAATGGTTTGGATGGAATCAATTTTTCAACCACTTTCCATATAAAGTCTTATTTTAACAAGTCGTCACATGAATAAGTATGCGGTGGTGTAGGGTATTTAAGGAATGGTCGTAGCTCATCATAGTTTATTTATTTCTTAATATTATTGATCGGTTTGTGTAACGAGATTTTAATGATATTGATAACATTAACTGTACTACTGCGCTGCGCTATTTTGTGAGAAGAACGGAGAAGTGATCACGTTCAATAGGAAAGTATATTATAATCAATTGTACTATCTATACATCATAATTCTCTTGGTTAGGATAGGTTATGTTAGGAATTGAGGCAAAAAAATTTCAAAGAACTTTTTTAAATTCTTTATTAACTTCTCCGCAAACTTTTTGATATACAGGGATATATAGGGATAAAAAAAAATAATAAACAAATAAATAAATAAAAATGAAAATGGTTGTTATTCATGTTAATAATAAAAATATTTTATAAATAAAATTTACGAATATTGGTTCGCAACTCAAATGCTTAATAAATCGATTAATTCATAAATTTGAACCATTAACACATTGATCATTATTATCCTTAACTAATTAGCTGAGTATTTTTTAAAGGCGAAAAAAAAAAACAAAAAACATTTTTTATAATAAATAAGCAACATAATTACAAAGGTTAATGTCTTTTTTTTTGTTCTATATTTTAGCTTTCGCCATTTTATATGTGTACATATATGTATATTTGTATAGTTATATTAAATTTACATGTAAAACGAAAGAAATAAATTTCGAGAGCTATAATTTTAAATGATTATTATTTATAGTTGACGATTTATTAATAAGATTTGTTTACAAATACTTGTAAACTTTATATTTCCTATTCATGTCTATGTCCGATTGTTCCTCTTCGTGTGGTTCTAATTTATCAAAATTCAGTTTATTCAGTAGGTTTTTTTTTTTCCTTTTTTTTTCTTTTTTTTTCGTATGTGAAATAAAGGGTAACTTTGAAAATTAATTCCAAATTGATTTCAATAATGAATTTGAAACTTCTTACCTACTACCACCCGGTGAATAACGGTAAAGAAGTTTGTTCATTTGAATAGGTCCGGCCCGTTTGCCTATCTCTTCTTAATAGATAGATAGAGAAATGGCAAAAGAAAGTTGAAACTTGATATAGTAGTATATTATCATAAGAATATGTTTTTCAGATATTTCCTAATTATTTATTTTCTTAAAACAAAAACAAATTCTAGCTATTGTGTAATCAAATATCCTAAGCAACATGTATTCTTGAAAGCAATTATTTTTCAATGTAATAGATTAGCTGGTATGGTGCTGCTCTTTTTGCTCTGTATTGATGACTATTGGGTTTTCTGTTGGTGTTACGCTCATACACTAGATTGTAGATTTTTTGACTTGCCATCAATAACGCTGCGTTTACGAACAAGTCGTATTGAAATTGCTGGAAAACGTTTGTGTTAATTAAATTATTATCCTTGCTTCTAATCGGACCAACACTTTGTGAAATAAGGAAAAGATTGGCAAAAACATCGAGATAGTTCAGGATGTGAACAGATCTCAAGTCTTAGGTCTCAAGAAAAAAGTTTCGTGTATAAAAAAAAAAAAAAGAAGCAATTTTTGAAAGCTTTTACATGTTTGCCGGTAACGGCTCTGGATGGTATATTTTTCTCCCCAACAAACTCAAACAAACATCCCATGGAAAACTGGTCCAAGATAATTGATCTCATAAAAAAAAAAGACGGCCCGAAAACGTTATTCAATAAAATTTGCTTAAGGTTAAATGTAAAAAAGTTTTATGTTTAAAAACTCACATAAGTTTCCTTTTTTTTTTTTTACTTTTTATCTACGAATCGGCGATCTATAATAAACGATGATTTGCAATTTCTTTGTTAAAGGGATATAAATTGGGAGACTGTCTTTATGAACATTCTATCGATGTACAGAAAAGGTTATGAGAGGTGGTAGATACTCGCGTATCGTTTTTAGCGAACTTTTCTTTATTATTTGCCTAAAATATATTACAAGTATACCAAAATTTATTTATTATTTTTGCTTTTTTTTTGTTTTTTTTTTTTTTACTAATAAATTTGTATATTTTGCAAGTTTATAAGTGTTTATAAAAAGAACGTGAAAGAAAATTAATAATAAAACTTCATAGAGGCTAATAAAATTCGCAAAAAATCATTATTAATCATTATTTGAATTAAATTTTCGTATTTTTTAATTTTATATATTTTTTTCCTTTTTAACGAGTACATAATTAATTAATTTTTCTCAGTTTATTTATTAATTTTTTGTTTCTTATATTTTAACACATGAGTTGTTCAATATTAAAGCGAATTATTTTCTATTCTGTATATTCATGTGCAAAAATCTTTCTTGACCTAATATTTTTATGATGTGGAATGTTTTCGGTTTTGATTTTTTGATTTTTTTGTTTTTTAATATTAATGCATATAGTATTTTGTTTTGTTTTTTTTTATTTTTTTACATATAATATAAATTTAGCGAAGTTTTATTTTTTAATGTTAATAAAATACAATTTATTTTTACATATTTAAATATATTATGTTTTTATATTCATAAGTATGTGTGCATTATGTTGTTAAAATTTGTGAGGGAAAAAAGAGAGAAAATTATTCATTTACTTTGTTTATTATTATTATTATTATTATTATATATATATTTTTTTCTATTATCATTATACAATTCTAGCTTATCTACCTTAATTAAAATGAAAGTGAAATGAAATAAAAAATAAGAAAAAATTAACTACACTTTCTCTACAATTGTAACTAAGCACGTATTTTTATTTATATTTGTGTGTTAATGAGAGCAATTTGGAGTTTTTTCTCTTGTTTTTTTGTTTTTTTACTAACTATGAGTATATAATGTGAGTGCTGCTGCTTTTTGTCCGATGTATTGATGTCAATGTTGCCTACTTAGGTAGCATGAGTACATTTTAAGAATATGAATATTTGCTTACATTCCAAATAGGTCGCTACTTCATAAAATTCCTTATTGAATGCTGTCATCATTGGAGTATTGCCAGACAAGTCACGTGCCTCAATATTAGCACCGGCTGCCACCAGCATAACACTTATATCACGTCTACCATGTTCGGCAGCGACATGCAATGCTGTTTGACCCCTGGGGAGAGGAACGGGAATAAAATTTAAATAAAAATTCCAGGCGATTACTTGTCGATAAAATCAACTATTTTCCATATTTTGCGAAATGAATATGAAGTGAATTCCAACAAATCCTTTTTTCTTTGCACTCTTTAAAAGGTGTGAAATTATAAATGAGTGATAACTGGCTATTCTTCTTTTTTTAATATACAATACCTTAGGCTTACTCTTTAAATATAATGAAAGAAAAAAAAAAAGAAGATATTATTTTATTTAACACTAATTTGTTTCATATTCACTTCTTCAATCTTTCTCTCTAGTAATGCAATGCAGTTTTGAGTATTTCGAAGGCAAAGAAACTATTTTTCGTAAAAACAATATTACATGGTGAGTGTACTGTAAACGTGATAAGCTCCGTCTACTTAAACATTCTATTACTAGAAAACGTTTTAAAATACACAGCACTTGGGGTACAGGATGTGTTAAGGTTGTACGGACGTATGTAAAACCCAGAACGATTTCTGATAGATTCACATTTTACTGTACGCATCGATTCAGAATCATTTTCTAAATGGATCTAAGCTCGTGTGTTCATCTGTCCATCTGATGTCTGTCCGTGTATTCTTAAATTCCACCTATGGCAGCAATTTTCAAAACATGCTCCTGAAACTTGGTAGACTGATCTGTTTTGGCCCAACAACGAACGCCATTGAAAAGTGGTGCGAATCGGGCTATCCTTTTAACCACTTCCCATATAACGCCTTACATTGAAAATTTGTTGTGGGAAAAAAAATTGTAATATTTGGTATTTCCCGGCAGGAATCGCTTAATAATGGTACTTCGTCATTTTAAATAGTGTGAAAAATTTGCATCAAATGGGACTGTTTTTCGAACTTCTTGCCATATAAACCGTCCTATGGAAACTGAAATTTTATCTGCGAAAAGGGCTTAATTTTGAATACTTTTCGATGAGAAACTCGTTCATAAAAATAAATTGATACAAAAATTATTCTTACCGCGTTGGGGATATGTAGGTCTATTTTTTGAATCCTAATCCATATAAGGGTTCTAATGAAAAAAAAACGCCTTACACGCCAAAAATATCTATTTTATAATATTTTTTTTATGATAAAAGTTCATCTTTAGTATATCAACCAAAGCGAATTTGGATCACATAGATTTATTCTTTAGACGGCAGCATACAACAAAGAGAACTTTGTCGTTTGTTATGGCCCAAGCAGCTGGAAAATAATAAAATCATTAACAAGTAAATTAACTTTCCTAAATTTAGACCACGTTGACATTTGAGTGTCCTCCAATATGAGGGCTTACTTGAAAATTATAATCTGTCGTGATCGAATCTTTTATACTCAACACCGTCATCTGGAAAAAGACGACAAACGTAAAAGAACTAAATTTTCATGCTCTATAATATGGAGTGACATGGAGTTGACATTTTTTATTTTCAATATAAAATCGTATCTCGCATAGGCGTGTCCTTTGAAAAGTTTAGGTCACTTTCAAATTTTTTTGCATATCTGTAAGCATTATGTTCATGTTCGCTAATGGAAGAATGTTCACCTCGTGCACTACACTGTTGAGCAGACGTATGGACGGACATGCTTAGGTACATTCCGAATTATAAACTCGCCAAGCGTTTATATACTTCATGACGTTTTTCAAGTTTGTTTCTGCGCGTTATAAAGGTATTGAAAAAAGGTTACATTTTGATACACTTTAATATTGGGTAGGCATGGTTTTTTTTTTCATTTTTCCGCAGCACCGCCCAAAGAAAGTTTCTGTACATTTATCTGCTGTAGTTCATGAATAACGAGTGAAAAACGAACTTTTTATTACTTTTGAAAAACAGAGCTGTTGTCAGTTTATGTGGCGTTATGGGCGTGTCCTTCGATCGATTTGGCCCATTAGAAAGACAGACAGACGTGCAACAAATGGTTTTACAACAAACATAGTTTATTCTCTTTAGCGTCTCGAGCTTAGCTACCATAGCCGAAAAATAATTAAATAATTAAAAGATGAAGCGAACCACGAACCGGTATACCATTATGCATATACAATTGCTCATATGAGGTAAATTATTCAAAGGGGAGTTTTGAGGTACATTTGCTGAAAGTTTATGTTCCCAACAGACAGACAAATAATTACACACAAAAGCAACAGATCGATTGCTCACTTTGAAAATATTAAACCGACCATTTAAGAGGATGTGTATGTGCTACACTTGTCGTTCTATTTGCAAAGTTCAAACGGAAGGACACCCCACAAACCGGTCGTACTTAGCAGGAGCAGTATTTATATCGCGAGCTGTCTATCTGATGTTGATTGAATTTAAAGGTAAACCACTTGATCTTAGTTTCATTTTTCATTTCATTTATTCATTTATTAAATGACTTTAAAGCCATATGCCTATTACATAGTTATGAGTATACAAGTCAGCTAGATGGCTGCTCATGTAATCGTCTTGCACCCTAAGCTCCGCAATCATCAATTCCTACCAGCAGCAAAATATCTATATTATAAGTTTAGCAGTGCGGTCAATTTTCTTTCTAAACCTATTCAAAAAACTATCGAAGAATTTCATACTCAAGGCTAAGGCATTCCAATATCTAGCAATATGAACAGTAAAAAATATTGCTTGGCTGATGAGCTCATCAGCTTGTCTAGCTAGACAATCGTGGTATTAATGTGAACGGCTTTCTATTCGATCTAGAGAATTGCACATGTTCAATTAAAAGGCTTCGGGATCGCAGGAAAGAAGTAGTAGATATGGCCTGTTATACGGTTAACAATACTTTGAAGCGCATCTAAGTTATGCCTTGGCATTCAGAAAAGACTTGAATACAATAGTTAAGGAGGGAATATGCAATGGCATCTTTAACCTTTAGAAGCACATATAGCACAGTTTTTGAAGCGTGAAACAGAGATTAAACGTTGCTAATGTGGTGCCCAAAGTTGAGTTTGCGATCATGGGTTACCCTAAGACATTGCATTGAAAGTACGAGATGAATCGAATACGCAGATCTTTTCATATTGAGATTTTTTTAATCGCTTCAATTTGGATGCGGCTTGATTAACTAAAGTTGGGCTTGACTTGGATACTGGTATTGAGAGTTATGAGAGTCATGGAAGTCGCGAAACATCATTGCCTGCAAATACTGTAATCAGGCTTCCAATTTAATGAAAGCGAGTATTACTACAGCTATTGCGCATAACACTATTCGAATATTAGTCACGTTAAGTACTGCTGACAATCAAACGTCGTCACAACATCAATTTCAGTCCAAAAAGGTCAGATGACTTCGTTCGGCAACGCCTCCACACGCTGTCGACAGTCGAATCTGCAGCACTTTTGAAAACGTACGGCAGGCTTTTGAAAGCATATTCGACTATTTCTCTTGGTTTTTTGCCCATTTAGCTCAGTCGGGCAGCTGAAAGTGACTCTCATCAATCAGAATAACTTTGTTTAAAAATTCATAATCCTGTGTTGTGTGCATTCCTAGCACACAATCACACAAGCCGAGAATATGCGGTGAAAGCATTTGAAAACTAACTGGTTGCTAAAGTTGTAGCAGACTGATAGCTCAAATATGACGAAGAATTTAAAATGTCACTGCTTGTTAAGAGATTCTCTATTACTTTAATTTGCAAAATGATAAATTTTGAAATAATTCTTGGCTTGATTGACTGAGTGTCGGTCGGACCCGTTTGCGATGTCCACTGCGGCTTAGTTGAATATTGATAGCACAGAACATTGATATCATGGAGTATGTGTTATGTGAAAAGGTTTAATTCATAATTGCGAATTTTGAGATTAGATTTCTTAATAATCCAACGGTGGGTGTGTCTCTTTACGTATATATTCTAATTACGCGTTTATTAGTTGATCATTGCAATAGGAATAAACGCATGGATGAATAAGATTCGACTGACTACTGAACTAGCGTAAACAGCGGTAGCATTGTTGCCATTTTTCGATATTCCAGAGGTCAATCATTTACATAATTAGTTTGAGATTGTAGAATAGTACATCTCGTTTCTATACTGCTTTTGGGGATTTCTAAAGAGTACAATGTGACCGTGAACTTAAAGCAATTTTACTTATCGCGCATTCTATTTAGATATTTAAGGGTAGGTTGGCGTGCAATATTTGCCAGCTCGTTGCACAATTCTTAACAGGTGCGATATTTCCTCCGTAGAGGAAAGATTTTCTTTCTTCATTTGTTTTTTCTTTTTTTTTTTCCAAAGTTGGACTTTTTATCTATCTTTTATCTTTTTCATTATATTTAATGTATTTGGTAATTAATGAGCGCTTCTAATGAAACTCATTTCAAACACGTTATGGTAACATGTTCCATTTTGTTTAGTAATTTTACCTAAAACGCACATGCAATGAAAACCTTTATATTAGGCCAAAATTATGTGAACATTACAAAAATTTATGTAATTAATTACCTTTCATTATCTGCCATATTAATAAGACGACGTGATGCACGCAATATAGTGTACTTAACAATATCCTTATGATTATATTTGCAGGCAAAATGTAAAGCAGTTTGCCCTTTTTTATTGGCTGATTGCAATGAGTATCCTTGTTCATGTAGTGCACGTAACTAAAAGGGAATAAAAAAAAAAGAATGAAATAAACAAAAAAAAGAAAAAAAATATAAAACCATTTATATACCTATCTACTATCGACTATGTAAAACAGTTTACACCTGTTTTATACGGACAATAGGGAGAATACAACGTATAAACCTAAGGACATACATAAATTTGACAAAAAACTCTTGAAATTGATACAACAACGAGTTTAATAATAGTCGATAATGGCCGGGTGAGGCCGACCATTAAATACCCTACACCACATTGTTTAACACTTTTCTTAATTTTATTATAGAACACAAAAATTATATCTTGTTTCTACATAAGGCATATTTTTCACGTGCGTATTTATGATGAAGCAAGCCCAAAAGGCAACCTAATGTAGTACATAAGGCAGGACCAAAAAAATAAGCCGAAAAGGTCCAAATTTGGTACAGTTATTTTTTATGTTAAGTTATTATTATGATATAATTTTCATCGTGAAACATTAAAAATTATACCGTTTTGTCGTATGAAATTCAGTTTTCGCTATATAAGAGAAGATACAAAAATTGCCCCAGCCGGTCCAAAGTTTTAATACCAATTTAGAATGCCGAAATATTACTTATTGCTTATCCACCTTTGCCGAGAAATTTTGAAAATTGCAATATGTTTCCATATAACGACTTTTCAGAATAGGGCGTTATATGGAGATTGGTTCAAAAAGTGGATCGATACAAACTATTTTCAATAGCATTTGCCCCCGGGTCGAACCCCGTCATTGTACCAAATTTCATCAAAAATTGTGACCTACATGTTGAACACAGATTTACATGGACAGATATGAGACGGACCGACAGGCTTAGATCAATTGAGATAATGTTTCCCTATCGATTGGTATAATAGACGATGGATCTATCTTAAGCCTTTCTGTGTGTTACGTACGATCGCACTAATTTAATATACTTTTGTACCACAAGTCGTGTAGTGTATAACAAAGGATAGTATATAGTTTAAAAAAAAAAAAAAAAAAAAAACAACAACACAAATAAATAAATAAATAATTAAATATAAAACATTAATATAACGAAAATAAAACAACTACCATAAGTAAGTCGCCACTTTGAGCTGCTAATAGTACGGCATCGGAAGTTTGCTCCAAAACAGAACTTTCCATAAAGAAATAAAAAGTTTTTGTATAAGAAAATTGCAATAATAGAGTAATGAAAATTGTTTAATTAATTGAAAATAGAATTGTTTTGTTAAAAGACTTATTCTTCGTATAAACTGAAAGTAAGTTCAATACCTGAATCCATAACCAAAAACCTCTTCATTGAAACTGAATAAACGATCTTCTCTGCTGCATGAGTTCAAGAAAATAATTACAGTAAGATATTTTATTTAAAGACAATTATTCTCTAAAAAGTTATCTCAAGTCTTATGGACTGTTCAGACCGACTCTTAATTGCGAAAAAGAAAAGAAAAAACTACGTTGTATAAATTGAACTTGAATTTTTTTTATGAAATATCGGATTTTATATAAATAAAACAAATTCGATTTGGACAATTGTGACAAAGAAATAAAAAACAGAAAACACATAAGTCGGCGATGATCGCACTATTAAAAACTCTGCTAAATCAATTTACAGAACGACTTTTCAAATTATGGAAAGTGGTCGAAAAAGAGGTACGATGCGAACCATTTTTAATAATGTTCACCCTTGACCTAAAACATGTTAGTGTACAAAATGCTATTAAAATATCTGAAATATTGCGATCTGTAAGCTGAATACAAGAAAATAAAACGACGACGAACAGACAGACAGAGCGACAGACAAATTTAGAAGCGATTCAGAAAATGATTCTGAATCGATCGGTATAGTAAAAGGTGGGTCTACCTCAAGTCATTCTACGTGTTGTGCATGCATTCGCACATACTAAATACACCGTTGTACCAAATATGGTGTAGGATATAAAAAAATAGTTTTACAAATTATCATGATCTCTGGCTTGAGATTTGAATGTCAAGACCTGCGCTCTTTTTTTGCCAATAAATTCATTTGCAGCCGTGGTTTAGTGGTTGATCAACTGTGGGTGAGAAGAAGCGATGAACAGGTAAATAAAGTCTTTCTAGTCCCATTACACTTTACATTACAGGATGAGCGAAAAGCTTCAGATTTTGATTGTAATCTTTCAAAAATCATTTATAATCATATCATAGGTGATAAGTCTTGGTATCGTGGTCATTGGCATTGCGTTTCATATTATTTAACAATTACTCTCAAAATCCTGTATATATTAGTTTGGGGAAAAAGAAATCCATTATTTTTATATGAATTTCAGGACTTTATTTAACATGCTTCGGATTGTCCGATTAGGGTGAAATATGCACCGTTTTGTTGTACGATTTGTTGCCATTTTAAAGGTAACTTCAAAATGCCTCTCTCATAGAAGTCCTGGTCTCTATTTGCAAAAAACTCTAGTAGTCGATTTTCACAATCCTCCCTAGATTCCAATTTTTTATCATTAAAGAAATTTTGCAATGCAAGAAAAAGATGATAATCGCTTGGTGCCATGTCCGGACTGTATGGCGGATGCATTAAAACTTCCCAACCAAGCTCCCGAAGTTTCTGGCGAGTCATTGTAGATATGTGTGGCCTAGCGTTGTCCTGGTGGAACACGACACCTCTCCTGTTATACCAATTCTGGCCGTTTCTGGTCAATCGCTATCTTCAAACGGTCCAGTTGTTGACAGTAGAGATCAGAATTTAGCGTTTGGCCATATGGAAGCAATTCATAATAAATAATCCCCTTCCAGTCCCACCAAACGCATAGCAACACCTTCCTGGCCGTTTGAAGTGCTTTACCGCTCTTTGACCACGATCGTTTTCGCACAGGGTTATCGTATGTGATCCATTTCTCATCTCCAGTCACCATCCGTTTAAGAAATGGGTCTATCTCATTCCGTTTGGCCAAGGCTTCGCAGATGGAAATTCAGAGCATAAATCTGAAATTGTTTGATCGATACTTTACGAGAAATCTATCAGTGCAGCCATCTACCGTAAAAATAATGGATTTCTTTTTCCCCAAACTAATATATATATATATTGTGTAGGAGCCGCTTCTTGCAAATTTAAAAGTTAACCTCGTGTGACTCTACCAAGATAAGCCGAGCCTCATAAGGTTCGTTTGCGTCGCAAATATTTCGAAGTAAATGTTGGCCTCTTATTGCGGAAGAATTGCTTATATCGCTATTTTGCCTATAAACAAAGATAATTGGAATGATCAGCTTCGATGTGGGCCGAAATGTTTAGAGAAATAAGATCAAATTTTTTCAGAAAGTTCATGCTACACAACGCCTGATGCCGGATCACATAAGTTGCTATAGATGATCAAGGCCATAGGGATTTGGACGCAATAAAAAACTTTCTAACTTTGAACATTGGCTGCGTAAGTATGCGCTAATCCAAGCACCCGGTCGCGATGGAAAAGCGAAGAACTCACCAGATTACGAATACTCCATTATACTGCAAGTACTAATATCTGTGGATGTGTAGTTAGAGACTTTTGAGAACATTTCCGCGAAATCATAACGTGATAACGAACGCTTTATTATCCGAGCAACTGGATGCAATTCGTCGAGTTAGTTGATGCGGGTTTTCTTTCACCAACGTCTTCAAATTTTTGTTATTTATTTCCATTGGAAGAAGTCCCACTTTCAGGCGAGTCATCTCTATCAAAACTGTCTGTTCGTATGTAGAAGTCTTGTCGTAATCAGTACAACCCGCTTCAGTTGCCCTAAGTCTAAGTTTGCGCGAATCGCAGTACTAATAATGTAGTTTTGAATAGCCTTGAGGGTAATTTTCAATATCAACCACTTTCAACCGTTTCTTTTTTTTGTTTTTTGGATTCGTTGAGTACGTTGTGTCACTTTTAGATGCAAATTCTTAATCGATATCTACAATGGTTGAGAGTCACTTGCTCCACTACAAGTCTACATTCATTTCGTATGCAACACCCAGAAGGACATGAGGTAAACTCATTTTTTGTTATGGGGAACGATTCAGAATCACTTTCTGCGTAGCTTCTACGCTTGTCTGTCCCTCTGTCCCTCTATCCGTCTATTCGCTTTGTTTACTTGTGTTCAATTTTTGCGTCGCAAAATTTGAGATAATTTTGATACACTTTAGCATATTGGCGTGTTTTAGCGCAAAAACGAACGCTATTGAAAATGGTTCGGTTCGGACCACTTTCTAATATAATTCCTCATTTTGAAAAGTCCCTATAGCAATAATTGTAGGGTGGTGCACAACCGCAGTTCACTGCAGTGGTTTTTCCTTGTTTCTAATGATCTTATTTTTAAAACTTGGTTAGTTTCATTTTTGCATTGAGTTTTCGATTCTTTCGAAGCTGCAATCGTAAGAAAGACATACGACCAACGAACACCTACACAAACAAGTCTAGGTCGATTCGGAAACTTACTTATCAAGGATATGTGTAACTATTCTGCGGACACTTCCAGCGAAATAATAAGTGCATTATATAATCATTTTTGTGATGGGGACAGCAAGCACAAAAGTTATAGTCGCTTCAAAGATTTCTGTCAGATTCCAATAAATTGTTTCACAATTAAATCCATTTTAAATCCAATTTTGAATTTAATTTTTTTGTATGAAATGAATTCGAACAATAATAAACGATTGCGACTGTGGCGAATGGTACGACAAACCCGGCATTACACAAACATCCTTAGTCGTCATAGTCATCATAGCGATGATTGTGATCTATTATGAAAATCCGATATCTCATTATAAGAATTTGTATAAAAAAGATATAATAAGAAGCAATCGAGCAAAACTTTCTTGGTTTCGTGGACTTGCGATTGAATTTTTTAAGAAATTTTTACTTTTAGCGTTTCTACATAAAGCATTTATTATTAACCGAATCGAACTGTTTGCATTACCTCTTCCATTTTTGAACTTTAATTGATCTGAAGCCCATTTCTAATTCATCGTCATCTTTAGCCATTAATTAAAATGAAAAAATGAAAATAACAAAAATATCCGAAATAAAAATAAAAGTGTAGATAAAGAAAATTGAAATAATAGTGACAAAGCAAGATTATTTTAGAGAACCTACCTATACCCCCCCTTTAGATCAATAGGAATCTACTTATTATTGGGATGAAGTGGGGAGGAAGAACTTTAAGATATCGGTATACGGTTTAGTCTTTGCTGTCACTACAAATTTAAACGTAATTCACATATGAAGTAAACATTTTTTAGAGTTGATAGTAGAAAACACAGAGAAAAAGCTTAGCATATACTTACACACTGTGCGTTTTTGTATAGGTATGCCAGCAAGGACTAAGCTGTATGCTGAAATCTTGTTTATAAATATTTACTTGAATGCTTGCTGCGCGTTTGAGTTTTAATATTTAAATATATATATTTTTTCTTTTTTTTTTTTTAATTTGTTCTAAATTGTTCGCCCTCATAAACAAAAAAAAAAAAAAAGAAGAGAATTGTAACAATTTTTTCTTCATTTGCACGGGGACTTTTTACGGTAATAGAAATGACAAAACATTCGTTTGTTGGCATAGGGTAAAAGCATACCAGTACTACCCGAACGTTCTCCATGTTCGATATTGCGGCGATCATTTTGTGTTTGACGCTGAGAGTAAGCAGCAAAGGAACGTTCTTGATCGGGCGTCTGTGGCATGGTGGCTGCTTCATGATCTAATATATACAGTTCATCAACGGCAATATCACAAATATAGTGCAAATGTTCTTGGGCGCGATCAATACGAAAATAATGCTCAGCTGTGCAGCCTAAAAATGAAAAATATTTTATAAATTATATCCGATTTGTGAAATTTATCTTGCATACTCAACACCTAAGAACAAAATTTATCTTTATTTCGCAAATTATAAGGATATTAAGGGATCGAATGTCGATAGATCAGTGCATTGCATTGTAATAGGTCATATTGAAAAGTCTCCGCAGTTTCGAGCTTCTTTTTGTAGCCTGCTCTTTTCAAATGTTTTCAAACCGTCTCCACCACTTGCGAAATTTCGTCGACTATCTTCAGTGGCTGCGAGCTGCATCTTTGACATCGAAATTTCCAGACCGCAATCGGACAAACCGCTCTCCGCTCTGGGTTCTTCGTTCACTTACAGCATTTTCACCTCACACTTCACAAAATTTTCGGCGTGTTTTTGCATGTTTTACCTACTTTCTTAGTAAAAAAGCATCACATAGCTTATTTCTTTAGATATTTCACTCAATTTTAAATCAATGTAACTTTTTATATGAGCAAAGAGTTGGAAAACAATCTACTCAACTCAAGATGTAAGCTGAAATGTCACCTTTTAAGCACATGTTCGTTTGAGACAATCAGATGAGAGTTGCCCGATATATAGGCATCAACATCATCCCGGGGAAAAAACTGCGGAGAAATTTCAATATGACCTAATGTATAACTTTAGTGTTCCTGTAAGTTTCTAACGAAAGCATTTTTTAAAATATATTCAGAATTCTATAAAAAACTATCGCAGGTTTTTTTTTTTTTTTTTTTTTATATCACACAGTAGTGTGTTGTTAAAGAAAGGAGACTGTAATAAAGAAGATTTTCACAATCGAATGCATGAAACTTTATTAGAGATACATTTTTCGTTAATCCCTTGATGACTTTCAAAGTTTAAATAATAGGCATAAACAAGAGAAGCCCATTTAAGATAATCGAGTATATGCATATTTTGTAAGATCTTCGCGGCGAATAGTTGCGTGTTATAATGAATAAATGGTGATGAGTATAATCAAATAATAAATGTTGTTTTCGCCCGAAAATATGATTTACACATTTTTTTTTTTTTTTTTTTTTGAATCAACAATAAGATATTTTCATTCACAAATGCAAACAATTGCAGTGGTTTTAGTTACAAAATGGTTTTAAAGTAAAGGATTATAATTTAAGAAAGACATATGGTCAGTTTATTAAGCGTTACATTAGTTAAGTTGACCGATTATATGTCAATTGTCCTGCTTTTAAGAAAAGCGGGCTCCATTTTAATTTACTTAAGAAGCACAATTTTTCTTATGTCAAATATTCAATCACATATTCGATATTCATAATTTTCTACGACTATTGAGAGTATCTTTCATTGAGAGTTTGCTCTACGAAAAAAGTATGCCTTCAGCCAGCCGCATAGCTGCTGAGGACTTCACCTATAAGAATCAAATATGATTTGTGGTTTAAGCTCTCATATGCAGTTCCTTAATTTTGCTGCTTGAATGTACCTTGTGGGGGATGGAGACATGATGAAATCTATACCAAGCAATTAGTTTCTTTTTCATACGCACAATTACGTACGATTATCGGAGAGTAAATGCATAATAATAGTAAATTAGTACAAGTGCCCCTAATGTTGCTATCACTAAAGCGGAGTTTTTTTTGCAAAAAAAATGTGCGAATAATTTGAAAACATTTTCATTTCGATTCATTGTCCTAAGATTGAATGGTAGAATTAAACGACTTAAGCTATCATTGACCATAGAAGGATGTAACTTGTCTTCGCATGTTTTCCGCTTATTTACTAGAAACCACTTGCGTAGAGAAGGACGATAAAAAAAAAAACTTTTATTGTAACGGTGTTTGGTTTAAATTCAGACTTTTCTTCTTTTTTTCCAATTTTTTCAAAAGTAAATCATATTTTTGTAATAGCATAATTAAATTCGCTTACAATCAATGAAGCACCAATCCTGTGATACCCGAGGATAGGCTATCGATTCCTCAAATTTGGCGTTCAACATATTTCGTACCTGCTCCAGATCACATTGAGATTCAATTTCTATTCTACCCAATTTATTGGCCACCTTACGTAACATATCTTTGTCATAATGATAACGCTCATATTGATCCATGCTTAGCCGTAATATGATCAATTGTAGTTTCTCCAACGGATTGACTCTACAAAAAGAAGAATTTCATGGTTGTTTTTTTATTTTTGCTTTGAAATGATTTAATACTAAATAAATAGACGAGTATATTAAATAAATACAGAGAAGGTGCGGCAATTAATCCAATTCATGCCCATTGAATAAGTGAGTACAACGAAATTAATCTATTTATCGTGTATTTGCATATGTAAGTGTGCAAGCGTATATTCGTTTATCTCACACCTTTCATTTTCCTATTTAATTAAAAAAGAATTCAATACTTTCTATAATATACTGTACATATAAATTGATGAAGTCGGAGAAGTTTCGCTTGCAGTGTAAAAAGAATTGCGGTTTAAAGACCACAATGAAACACTAAATTGAATTAAAATGAAATTGAAATGTAAATTATTTATGGGTTATAAAACATTACAAGAAAAATGGGACTTCCATATGCGCTGAAAGTGATTTCAACAGTTTTACGATGGAATACATATGCACGCCATTCTGCTTATAAACATTTTCAATATTCAGTGCACGCATATAACTGTTTCGTATTAAAAAAAAAAAAAGAAGAAAACAAAATGTAAAAAGTAAAAAATGTATAAATGAAATCCATACATAACTGAAATGAAAGAATTGAACGGATAGTATGCATGTGACAACAATAACCGCAAGGATATGCTATACGTATGTAGGTTAATACTTTAATGCCGGAGTAAAAGTACTTAAAAGGAACCGAGCAACAGCAAGTTGCTCTAAAAGGAAATGAATGAAAGTTGTTGGCGGTTAAGAAAAAAAAAAAAAAAAATTAAAGAAAAAGAAAGCAAAAACAAAAAAATGAAACCGGACCTGACGAGCACGTTGGAAATGCACTAATATGCGCGTAAAAAAATCGTACACGCAAGGTGAAATCCATAAATGACCTGCCATTGCCGTGCATATACCCATGTGCACGCGTACTTGTATACATATTAACCTATGCACACGTATACAATAAATCGATCAATAAATCCCAGGACTAAGTAGGAAATTTTTGCGAAAATAAATTTTATGTACCCATAACAGTCCAATGCTTCTCAAACATCTGGGTGACTTTTTGTGGAAGGGTTTGTGAAGACCCTCAATATATGAATCCATTTTCGGTTTCTTTGAGGCAACTTTTCAAGATTTGCAAACAGAGAACATATGGTATCGAGGCAATTCGATCTCGAATTTATGCAATTTTGCTATACCTGTTATGCAGGCTATTTGTGATATGTGTGCCATTTTATTGTGCTGTGAGTAAGCGCTTTACTCATTTAAAAAGCATGTCTCTCTAGGGAATACATTCGCTTTTCATATCCTTAGAATGTCAGCTGCCGCTTGTAATTTCATTTCTATTTTATTTTGTTTTTGTTTTCTGATGTAAACAATCCTTTCGGGCGTTCATTGCGTGCAGCATCATCGGTGCCCGTACGGCGTCGTTTAAAGCCGAGAAGAGATACCAGAGCATTTTTCTAGGGAATGCTGAGTTTGAATGGTATTTCTTCCCATCAAAAATTAATATTTAATCAACGCATGAAATTCGTTATTAGAGGGAGTATACCTTGCAAATAAATGATCGAAATGACATGAAATTTTGACGGATGTCATTTGAGCGCTTGTGAATTGTTTCATTTACGTATCAGTACCGGGAATTATTGATTAATATGTCATATATATATATATTGCACACCATTAAGTTTCGCCACCGTTCGGAGGTATTAAGTGTCCATCAATAACTTGCATTCACATACAACAATGAAAATGCTCGCGTCGCATTTAAAAGTCGTTTACTTTGACGTAAGTAATGTCCGTACATCTAGTCACGTGTATATGTACACATACATACAGGTACATCTATATATACATACATAGACTATGAAGCACTTACGCATCAGTACAAGTAAAGGTCAATAACTTTTATTTTATTATTCTTTTTTCCTTACAAACACTTATCCTTATTATTACGTAACAGATATATAGGTTCTTAATGTAATTGATCCCGTCATTTATTGCGTCTCTCATAGAAAACAATACCGGAAATTGACGTGAACTGCATGCTTTATATATTTATTTATTTAGTTTTTTGCTTCCTAAAGTACCTAAACACCTTTACAGCAACTTGTGGTTATTGGGTATGTTCTACTTACTGAACGTCAGCACGGCCTTGTTTGCGTTTGGCAAGCATAACGGCTTTATTTAACAATTCCATTTCAATAATAGAGGGTTTCACTCGACAGGCTTCGCCATCCACTTGCATCGGTATAGTGCGATTGGTGACAATGCGTGCCGTACGACATTGGCATATACAAGTGCCATGCATACCTGCTTGCAGCATCGGCAATTGATAGGTGGTCAAGCCAACAACCTCCATAAGACCGTCATCGATGGCGGCCTTTGATTGGCCAAACGAATCATTCCATGGATGTGTGCCGCCACCGTAACTAAAACCAAACGTAAAAAACAAAATCAAAATCAAATTAAAAATAAATAACAATAACAAATATGTATAAAGCATGCATATATATAATATCTAATTAGATTTCAAAGTATAGCTCACCTAGGAATATTTAAGAATAATACAGCATGGCATCCAGCGTCCTTTAGCTTAGCCGTATAATCAGTGCCATCGCATTCCAACGTAACCCATTGTGATAGGTTACGATATTGTCGTAAAATTAAATCTTTACCACCCATTTGCCCATAATACATTTTATTACGTAAACGTGAATTGAATTTTTCTGGATGAGCTTCTCTAGCCTCATGAAATTCCAAAGCAATATGGGCATCCACACCGAATGAAAAATAATTATTAATCACATTCAACGGTACATTATCTTTACTCTTGTCTACTTGATCGTCGGCGACGTCTTCATTCGTGGTGACCCTTAAACGCCAACGATCCATTAAAACACACTGCGACATACCAATTTCGCGTAATATTTTACCGATAGGCTCATCGGTATAACCCTAATGTCAAAAATCGACATTGATTCAATGGTTAGGTGCAAATCATGTTATATCGTTTATATTACTTACACCGCCCCAACCTAATGCTCTGGCTAAGTCGTTACCGGTGCCTAGCGGCAAAACTCCAACTGCCGGAACCGGAACTATGGGCGGATTCAATTGATCCAAAATAGAGAGAACCCAACCAACAGTTCCGTCACCACCACAGGCCAATACTCGTAAATTGGGAGCTTTACGAAACATTTCCAAACTGAAATGAAAAGAATAGCGAGAATTTTAAGTAAGGCATTGTTCATAGATAATATGTGTTAAGCAAGTTTTTTTTTTTTGCAAACACTTTTTCGAATTTTTCAATAGTAATGCGATAGTTAAATACAGTTTCGAAAGCCGATTAAATAAGTTTGCACGTTGCTCCGAAAACCAGTAAATTCACAGACATCGATCCTTCGATTTCCGCTAAACAAGTTATTACGTGTGTCTTAGTCTACCGTTTTTATTCTTTGGTTGGTAGACGAGCAGGTAAAAATTGCGACTACCAAGTGCGGTAGAGCTTTCTTTCTTTGATTATAGCTTTTAGTCGGTAAAGGTTTAACACTTGTCGATTTGACACACACGCACCAGGCTGCGGTTCACCACACTTATCTATATCTTCCCCTTGCATCTCTTCGCTCTAAGGATCACGGTGTTAAACGAATAGAGGGCTTGAATGAATGAAAATTTTACATATGTATGTTATTACATATATCAAAGGTATTTGGCTTATTTCGAGCGGGCTTCTACTCACTCCATTTCGTCACTCCGCCATTTATGATTTTCGTAAACTAAAGAGGGCAAAATTGTCCTATAAAAAAATTCTCGGGGCGAAACTTAATATAACCTGCAAATCGTTGAAAAGGCTATTAATAGAAGATTCACTATATGCTAGTTTTATTTTTTCAGAGGACAGCAGGGTATGACCATAGCACCTATGAAACTTTCGCCTTATCAACCTCATTTATGACATAGTGTAAAAATGTTGTCCTTTCGAATATTAATTAATTTACATAAAGTCATGTTTTGTTAATAATATTTTGCAAAAAAATTCTCGAAAAGTTCCATTTGTATTTTGAGTAAAATCCCTCTGAGACTTCGTGTAACAGAATTCAGTTAACGGCTTCACAGAGCTCTGCAAAAAAAAATTTTATTTTGTATCTTTGCTAGTTATACTTAAATAAAACTTCACACCCTTTTAAGTGACAATACATTTTATGAGCAATTCGAACAACGAAATAGTTTATGGTATTTTCATTACATTTATCTTTGTTCTGAAATCACGATTACGATCCTTAAACTTTGGCCAGAACATGAGACGTGGGCTTGAATTCTCTTTCACGTTTTCCGATAAATAAGAACTTTTAGCGACCAAACATTTATTTCGTTTATGGTAAACGCCTTTTATATGATATGTGAGAGAATGGAATAATGTTAAATAACATTTAATAATGTATCCAATGATTCGTTCTTCTCTAATTTACTTCGTATTTAGCTTTTAATCGTAAAAGTTAATTAGAAAATGTATTTAAATAAAAAAATTATCGAATCTGAGGAAAAGTATCGTCGCTTACAGAAATAATTTATGCAGACTGCATTTAATGCTTAGTCATGTTAATGGATTTTTAATACATTCGTTAGATAGTTGAGAAACTTTTCACTCGAAATTCTTTTTTATGTGTAATGCTTGTAAGGGGAAAGGTAACAGGTTAAGTTCAGTATTGAATTATATGACGATTTATAAAATTTGGAATTTCATCAAGTCTACCAAATCTTTAAATGATTTTGGCACGCCTCTTTTTATGCAGGACTAAAAAATACGTATAGCTTGAATGATCAATGTCTATGCAGCGTTTCAAACAACGGTTGTCTAGAAGAAATGTGTTCTTAAGAAGAAGCTTGCAAAAATCGAGAAATGGGCAAAGTGGGTGTAAAAATTTCTGCCTGAGGCGTGTAAGAAGGAAAAAGCTGAAGCCGAAAAGGATGAACCCGAATAGCTTGATTTATTGAACCACATACTAGCGGTCGATAAGTTTTGGATCTACTATCAAGTATCACATATCCAAAATGCAGTCACCTGTTTCGCGTCTTCGTCATCCGACGCTTTGCTTGCCAAAACGAAATTCAAAAAGCTTAGAGCTGCTGTGTTATGTGTGCATAAAGATTGAATCGTAAATATTGACATGTTGGACACATGACGTAATTTTAAACTAGGGTAGTTATTATTTTTTATTTATCTACGTTTGTATGAAAAACATTCGAAAAAATAAAGCATTTTCCCTAACACCTTTGTCATCAACACACGGCTTTCGATTCGATTTAGCTAGGGTCCCAGTTTGACACTTGATTTTTAAAAAGGAAATATTCCGAATATGAAAACTTTTGGTTTTTTCGCTCAATAGGAGTGAATCTCTCGAACATTTTAAAATATATTATCGAAATTAACCACACGTTAATCTAACGAAAGAGAGGAAGAATCTTGAGAATAAGTTTGTCCTTGTAGACATTAGGTTTGATGGACTTAGCGTCTCAAGAGATAAGCAGGGAACGAGCAACCATAACTAAATTGACCTCACTATGCACAGGCTTACTAAAAACATAAGGTCTACAATGTGTGAATAAATTTTATAAACTCACCCCATTTTTGGTCCACCTTGTGTTAAATCAAATACTTGTCGTGGATTTAATAGCTGTTGAAATTTTCCCAAAAGTTTCACACCTTGATTACCACCCGATTTCGGATTAATGAACACAATCACTGGTATCACTTCGGTTGATGGTATCGGTTTTACTATGAACGCTCGATGTTCTTTGCGTTCTTCTTTTTGTTGTTGTTGTTTGTTACGTTTATTGGCGTTTTTCATTTTTTTACTGGCGTTACTTGCGTTGTTTTTGTTATTAACGCGTATCGACGACTTAAAATTACCTTTGCTGGGAAGCTTTACAATCCAAGATGGTGGCACAATAATAGGTGCATAGTTGCCTGAAATGATATCAAATGTAAATAAGCATTATATGTGTGCGTGCCTATTTATACCGTATTGGAAATGAGATGAGCCTATATTAAGTCAGAAGGCTTTGCTTGATTTTTCAGCCAGCAGGTCTCAGGTAAACACACACATACGCACGCACACGTAATACAGTCAGATATATATATATATATATATATGTATATATGTAATGAGACTTTATTTTTTCAAACACCCGCGCTATGAAATCGATGTTTATATTTTTGTTAAATTAGTAATAGTGGCGTTGTTTTTGTTTAAGCAATTGTTTTTGGCGTTTTTGTTCTAGGTTTGTCTGTAGCGTGAAATTCACTAAATTGTTCCGCGTCATACGTATAAATCCAAGCTGCATTGCCAGTAACTATACATTTTAGATCATTATCACTAATAGAAAGCATTTCTTTTGACACTTGAACGCGACATCGTTTTTCAAATAAATTCAAAGCTTTTGAAACCAAACGAGAAGACACGGAGGCCCAAATCATCCTTAAACTCATATCTACAAGGTCTTTTTAAGTCAGTTGACATGTGATGAGTACGAGCTCTTTGACTTTGTGGATGTTTTAATCAGTAGTTGAGGTTGATGGTTCTCTTGAATGAGGTTTGGCTTCGACTACCTCGCGGACCTCGTTAAGTGATTCGTACCATTTAAAACCTTGTGATCTTGATAAACACTCATCGCGATAGCATTTTTGTAACACTTTTAACGCATCAAAGCAAGAAATTTTATCTTCTTGACAGAATTCTACGCAAATTCCTTGTTCAGTAGATTTTTCCATTCTAAAAATAGCTGACAACAAAATTGTTTAAATCAAAAAAAAGTAACCCAAGAGGCCACATGTCTCGAAATTTATGTCAGCTGTGCACAACAGTCATACCAGCTTACCAAAAATATATACACATCGATTTCATAGCGTAGGTATATTAAGGGAATATCATTACTTTTTATCCATAAGATAGAAACTATAATCAAATGTATCTCTTTGTGGTGGTAGTGGGTATAAAAATGCCAGTTATTCGGCTAGTCGGATCTCTTCGATACATGAAATAATGAATGAATTTTCTTCTTCTATTCTATAATCTACGGAATGTGGATGTGTACGGACTTGGAACATGAGCACTTTTTAGTATTTATAAGCTTCGTGGAAATTCTTAGGCGAATTTTTGCGTGTGGAGTATAAGTCGCAGCATTCGATTGTATGCCTGATTGTTGCCGCACATGCTTTCATATTTAACTCAAACGTCGCTCGCGCTCCAATTGCCGTAGATAAGATTGTTGGAAATAAGGAGAATAACACTGAGTTACTAAACAGTGTAAACTTAGTTTTTGCATGGCTAGGTTTTACAATCAAGTTAATATCGATTTTTCAGTCGCCTTGCATTAGTGCTTACTGCGAGTCGGTTCAAAAAGAAAAATATTTACACAAATTATGTGAAACGTGCACGTTTCTCTGAGCAGGATTGAACTGTTTGGATCAAAATTATAAAATAAGTTTATTATTATTACGAATGTCATCAAGTATGTTGTTTAGAAGCATTAGCGACCTCAATTGGAGAAGAGACTATAATAATTTCGTCACAATTTTTGTAACATCCAGAAGCAAACCTAAAGAGTTCTATAAAGTGCATATATTCACATAAGGGATATTTATTGAAAAGTAATTAAAACTCACGTGTAATGTAAGCGACAAGGTTTGACGACTGTACTGTTTTGTAACTTAACTCCAATTAACGACTGACTACTTGTTTCTCACTGCTTCTCTGCTACGTTATTTCGCTTGCTTTACTCTTAATTTACTTTATCAACTCTCACTGCACTTTACATTCATAACTTTCATACCATGTATGCAAATTTCATACTTGGTTTTTCTTAATGAGGTTCCGGCATTAAGAGCCAAGCCATCTACAGAAATGAATCCGAAGCCTGTTTTGACAAGTATTTTAAATTTCCTATATCATAGAGAGTTCTGAAGAGACGCAAAGAATTCATAGTGCGAAAGTGAATGTTGCGGAACGCACGAAGGATGCATTAATTCGCTCAATATTTGACAGGTCGTTAGTCATTATGCAAGCTGACCTTGTTAAAACGATGTACGCAATCCTCCTTCCTAAACGCAGTGGCCATAAGTGCTGATGGTATAAGCCTAAGTCTATATGGCTCTCAACATATGAAACATTTTCAGTTCTACTAAATTTACAACATTATCTTCCTAGACATTTATGGGGCTTTCCTCACAAACTGTGCTTTATCTAAACCTAAACCTTACCAGTTTCGGTTTTGTCAAAAAATTCTACTCATAAACAGTGTCCCTGCAGCGTTTCAGTGTTTATTGAAATAATTTTGTTAAAACTCCTCTTACGCCCATTGCCCTACTTATGTCTTATGCCTTAGTATACGCAATCTTGCAACTTTCACATATCTCTTAAAGCCAAATGCTAGCTATCGAATGACATGCAGTTTCCTATATCGTAACTCAAAGATTTGGATAGCGCTACTTTAAAACTCCAGCTTTGCAACAAAAGAAATCAATCTTTTCCAAACGACATGAGAAAGAGAGTTCCTTATTAAGAACACAACACAAAACATGTGTTATCTTAGGTTTAACCAACCAACCAAAAAAAAAAAAAAAACAATAAAAAAATTTTTTTTTTTCTAAATATTCGTATATTCCTTGGATTTATGTTTGTAGGCCTATAAACTACTTAGATCGTCTCATCACACAGAGTAACCGCACCGTTGTTTCACACACTTAAACCGAGTGCTTTTGTGTAAGCAAATGCTTTTCTTTCGCCTGTAATATTTCTGCATAAGTGAAACATTTTCTTCAGCTGCCTATCATCATCCAACTACTTATACATTATAGCGTAGAATGGGCTGGATAGATGGTAGTTGGAAATATAAGTGCTACCAGCATAAATGGCATGACTGAGTAGATAGGTAAGTGCAAGCATTGTCGTGCATCTGGCAGTTGACTGGCGTTAAGTGCAAAATCATACAGTTTCTAGCATCATATTGAGCTACCACTGGGACGAGGACAACAACATAATAACGGCAAATTTATGAAACCATCATCTGAACGATGACATTCGCTGTACTGGCTTGTGAGGTAATCTCACGTATTTTCTCAACTACTACTGCCACGCTATTACTCATGCATTCTACAGTAAATATATGCAAAAAAGTTGTTTAAAAGGTGTCATGTTCGTATAGATGTTTACGTACACACGTATTTAACATACACCTGAGACGCACAGCAGCGAGATTGAATACTTTTACTGACAATGGTTTTCGTCTGTTTTTTTTTTTTTTTTTTTTTTTGTTTTTCTTCTCACAAATTTCACATGCATATGGAGGTTTAGTCCTTTATTTTCCTTTGCAAGAGGAATAAGAAGGTAACTCAAAATTCTCTCACTTTAAATAGCACGCCATCAGCTCAGACAAATACTTTCAGATTATATAGCAAACAATGACGTTTAGCTAGATATTAGCTTTTGATCTATACATAGTACTGCTGTTATATATATTAATGTTTATGCGATATACTATAGTGTTTCTCTTGAGAATTTTCTCATAAGTTACCGCAACAATGTATTCATAATGTACGTTTTTCATTATTCATCTAGCGCCATTTACATGCATTTGCATAAAAAGATATATATATATATATATATATATATAT